TCTTTTTTTTATACAGAATATTCAATATAGGCAGAGAGCAATAAAACTATTCCAACAAGCTGTTAGAAATATTTTTTTTTATAAATGAACTGTACAACGAATTACTTTTTATTGAAATGAATTGCATTTATGGTTACCTACAACTTTTCAAACGGAATAACTTCTTTAAAATTGCACCAAATGAATCTTTTTATATAATATACAAAAAATGTAGATATAGTTACCAATTTCACTGTTCCAATTTTCCTTGTACACTCTGATAACAAAGTTAGAAAACGACATTTTGTTAATTTATCTTTTGCCGATCGAAACGATTGCAATTTTTGTAAAAGTTTGTTTAAACATTGTTTAGTAAAAACTAATTCCTCGGACAACTGAACAAGTCATTTGGTTCATTTTTTAAAGAAATTACTCCGTTCTAAACGGTGTCCGAATATTTTAATGACCGAGTGTACGTAGGTTTGCTAAATGTTTGATAAATGATGGAGAAATTTAACAACGTGTTAATAAGTTACGCAAGATTGATTACAACTATTTGAACATAATAGACAAAGAAAAATATTCGGACTTGACCAAAATTATATTGTAAATTATATCGAAAATAATATCGAAAATTATTTTGTAAATTATATTATAAATTATATTGTAAATTTGTTTCACAGTACATAAGAAAAGCGGTAAGTCTAAGCTGCTTCAAAATGAACTTCACTAAACACTTCCAATGAATGTCTGAAAGTGACAGAGAGGATTATAAATTATCCCAAAGGCTGCAACGATTATTCAACTGTAACTACCGCCTCCGCTGCTTTCGCTGTCTCTGTAAACCGTCTAACCATTAGCAACGTGTCCTAACACCAATTTTAGTACTTATGTTTGCTCAATAATTCTCTTGGTCTATTCTTCATACGACGATTATCAGAATTAGCTTCGTTAGCCTCATTCATCATTGCCATTAATGATATTTAAATAAACGAAACTGCAAACCTTAGCTTCGTTTCATTCACAGAATTTTCACTCATCAATTAAGTATATCAACAATGATTCTTTAGGTATGGTTTTTGCGAACGACCCATTTAGCGAGACAAATTAAATTAGGAGGAATTCAATGCATTATTATGCTTGGCTGAGTTATTCCATCCACTATAATTATACCTGTTACGATCTCTATTACCTCTTTTACCTTTAAGCTCCTCGTTGCAGAAGATGCCCCGCAATTAATCCCTTGTCTTGTATCATCAAGTTAACCTCGCGAGGAAAGTTTCAGTTGTATTTAATAGATCTGACAATTACGAGATGCGCATTAATTGAAGGGAAATATTATCTTTCGCTTATCAACATTTAATATTCCTAGCAGAATATTCTCGGAATTACCGCGATGTTACGAGTTGCGCCGTATTTAAAATTAATTCAAGGAATGCAATTACATTAATTGGACGTGATCACTTTTAACAAAAAATATTTTTATACATTCTGCACAATGATTTAAGCGCATAACATTTAAACTCGATACGTTAATTGGTTTCGTTTAACGAACATAACGCAAAGAAATAAAAGTTTCTACGAAACTTCTCTGCGAAATAAATTATTTTACGGTGCTCCTTAGTAAAATCGCTATATAGCCTGGACAAGAATAATTATTTTTGCATACAAAAAGTCCTGTACAACTCTTCGAAGGTCGTAAAACAAGTGCATAAAGTTTGCATTTGATACGTCAATTAATTATGTTTAGAAATTATATAAAGCGACAGAACTTTTAACAAGTCGCCCTGATAGAACGACGGTAACTTCGGCCAGAATAATTATAAGCGCATCAAAGAAATCCTGCATACCGTATAAAGGCGTGCAGAGCTATCAACAAAGTTTTGCATCCGCCGCGCTAAAGAATTTTATTTGAGAAAATTCGCTGAACCAGCATTCACGGTGAATGTAACGAAGCTACCCAGGAAACGCGTTATAAATAATGCGTCGGTGTATTTCATGGGATTGAAAGAACTCTCGGCTGAATGCCGTAATTTCTCGCCGGGAATGATCCATTGGCTGGCAAAGAGTCCGTGAAAAATCCAGGAGGAGAACCGCCGGCTCGGATTATTTTTCGCGGAGTTTAGCCGGCTTTCCTCGGGCCCGGCTAAGTAAAGTAGAAACAGTTTCGCGGAAGTTCTCGCGGCGGAATGCGGTTAGAGTGCGAAATGATTTTAGAAACGGCGTCGCCGGCGAAACGGAAAATACGTTTTAAGGAAAACTGTGCCGCAACGACAGGTGGAGAAATTTCTTTGGAGTGCGCGCGCGGCGCCGTCCCCGCGAAATAATGCATGTCCCGAAATAAGAAGTACGAGCCGGGTGCACGCGGTGCTCCATAATGCATGCGACCTCAAAAATACAGACGATTTTAACGGCGAAGCTCCGATATATATACTTATTTGTTTTCGCGAGGCGAGCGCAGCCGGTATGTATAACGATTCTTCCCGTCGCGCGCTCTCGCAAAACGTCGCGAACGTTTCCATTATTTCGAGCACCATTATTTCGAGCATTACCATCTCGAGTGTCATTTCGAGGATCAGTTCTGCTCGTCGACTGTCGAAACGGTAACAATAATAATTCCACAATTTCCAAACGATTTGTTTGGTGCTTCGAGAATTGAAATATTCAGGATCCTTCGCTATCACGTTCGAAAACGCGGACGACAAATGCATTGTTTTTAGTGTTGGGAACAAAGAAGAAGGTGCATACGATAGAATTAGAATTGAGTACGGTTCGTCGATGTCGGTAGGCTGCGGTTTTTATGGATTTATGGCAAAAGATCGAATTACTTTTGATTTATGGAAAATTCAACGAAGAGATAGATTTTTATTTAATTTCTGCTTTATAGAATCGTATTTTATATTTATTGTACTCTTATGTTATATTCTGTCTAGTGAAAGCATGCCAAGAATTTCAGAATACTGATACTGTTATTTTTAATTTATTCGAACTATTATAGAAGTTCGCATATTTTTAATTAGATCTTTCATAGAATTTTATTTCGTGAAGAATGTTAGATAATTTTTAATTAAATAGTATAATGATGAATAAAATGTGAGAAGTGATTGAAATCGTCGTCTGCAAAAGGAATGTGTGCGTGAAATTATTATGGAGATTTTTGTCGATACTTTAATATCATATTTAATAAATTGATAAAATATTGTTGCACGAGCCATGCTGGGAGCAAAACTGCTGGTCGCTGCCGATAAAGAAACGCGATACAGTAAAAGTAGATAAAATAGCTCGTGGCGAAGTCGGCAGAACAAATATGTGTTTTATGATTATATTACATAGTAGTAATAAAACAAATGAAAGCGGCAATACCATTTTTCTGATACGCGAATGCACATATTGGTTTCGCGCTCCTCAAGTATTATGTTTCCGCTATGCAAACATGGGTTCGTTGTGCACATAATATTGTAACATCAATAGGGTGACTGGAGCTGAACTGCCTCGTGTTTGCCTGAACAGCTTGTAAATATTAGATAATAGGAAATGTTCGCATGATTCTCTGTAAACGATCCTTTGAAAGCGAGCTTTCATTATTACTTAATCAACGTCCACTATAGTTTCTGAAAGAACATTTTCAAACGATTTAATAAAGAATTAATTACTAATTCGAAGTATCATTATATCGATTAATTTTATTCCGAAAGATTTGAAGTCCATTTTCCTAGTATAATATATTCCTATATTTGTTCCTTAATTTATTGCAGTTATGTGTTCACATTAACGAAAATAAATGATATGAAATGGAAATTAGTTATATTCGTTTGATGATATTGTTATTGCATATCGATACTCCTTGTTATTGTTAATTACAAAGCTTACTGAGCAATGAGACAAAATCGAAATCAAACGAATATTCATATAGTTAAGATTTACAAGACATTAATTATTATGCATTTTTATGCAAAATTGCAGTCTATTACTGTGTACTTTTATGCAAAATAAAAATTGTCCCCACCAATGGCAAGAAATAGAAGCTAAATAGAAGCTAATTGCAACTACTCAATTTTGCCAGAAATGCATGAAATCCGCGGTCTAATTATTACCTTAGTAACGGCGAAATTAAATTTCTCATTTAATTGTATAATTGAATATGTAAATGGCAGCGAAGTAATTAATTGAGTGAAAATATTATTTCACGAAAGAATACGGCAACTAAATAATTAGATGAACCGATGAGTTGCTTAAATTCAAAGCTTAGATTGCCCAGACCCAGTTTCAATTAATTTTCTCGCCCGCTCAAAGTCAGCCAAAAACGTTTCCCTTAAACGCTGCCACGGCCAACACGGTTTTTACTTCGGACAGTTTAAATTATGAGTTTCTTCGCACGCGAACATATGTACACGAAAGTGTGGAAACAGTTTCTGAGTGAGAAGATTAATAGCCTCGTTGACGGCGAACGTGGCTTAATTATTTACCTCGCAATTAATTAAGGAGCTTATAGTAGCTTTACGAATTGCATTAAGATTGTTCTATTAATTATATCCGACTGGCTGAAAACGTTGTTGCCGCTCACTGACTATCGATTGAGTTAAACGATTAAGATACAAGTAAAAATTATTCGTTCTAAATTATGTAAGTTGACAATAATATTCATTTTCGTACAAAATATACAATTTGTTGAATTGAATTTGTTAGCAGAAATTTGTTTATAGAAATAGTTGTTGAATACAATTAATTTGTACAGATTAGTGGAAATAATTTTTTAATGCAACTACTTTGTCGAGATTAGTGGAAATAATTGTTACGAATAAATTCGTCGAGTTCTTGTTGCCACAGAATTAATAACATGCAATTTGTGAATGTGACTTGTTTTCGAAGATTGATGGACATCAATGAGCGATGCATTATTACTTTTCAAATATTTTATGCAATGTGTCAATATTAAAAACAATTTCGCATTTGTCTTTCCTGCATTCGATGAAATCTATGTTATTTTCGAAATAAGTTAGTATAGCGGAAAAGATACTCACTTGAGGCCACCGATAATTTCCATGGCTGAGTTAAAGTTGCCAATGTTCCAACAGGTTTGTGCTACCCGAAGCAAACAGGATAGCACCGCCTGCTTCTCGTCTAACGTTGTGCTGCTTAGTATCATTTGCGAGGCCCATGAGCTTACCTAGATACAACACACAATACTGCTTCAGGAAGTACTGCGAACGTCTTAAACATAATAATATCGAAAGCCACGTGACAAATTGAAAACAAAAGCAAAATAGAAACGAGCGAAATAATTTGAGAATGTTTGCGCTAGTATGATGAAGTTTGAGTAAGTTTATCTCCGAGTGCTTTCATGACTGACACAAATTTCTAATTGTTTATTGATCAAGAATCTCTTTAAATCCGTGTTTGTAATAATATTAACGACTAAACACAGCAGAGGTTCATAGATCTTAGAATCAATAGTACACGAAAAAATTAAAAATAAAAGCAAAATAGAAGCGATCCAAACAATTTAAAAATATTTGCATTGTTTTCAAGCGTTTCTACAGAATTTATATCAGATTGAAGATGTTTGACGCTGAATGTTAATGGACATGAACGTAGCAGAAGTTCATAGATCTAAGAAACAAATGAAAAATTTGAAACAGAAGCAAACACGAATAATACAAATGATTTTAAGGCGTTTGCGTTTGCATGATGAAGTTTGAGTAGGTTTGTCACAGTACATTTCTACTAAAGATTTTCGATTGCTTATCGATTAAGAATGCTTTATGGTTGATCATGTTTGTTATTGTGACTAAAACTCGTTTATGGTTCAACATGTTTGCAGCCGAATATTAATGATCTATCAAACAAGAAGTTATCGAAATAAACGTTTAGGTATGACGTCTTACCAAACGAATATAGATTTATGAGTATAGATTTATGAGTTTCAATCGAATGTTTTTCAGGCACAGTACTAAACTGAAGCAGAACAGAAAAGCATATCCTTAAGTTTCAATATGTTTGCTATCATGTTTGATCAACAGATCAAACACCTATCAAACAAGAAGATCTCCAAATGAAAGTTCAGGTATGCTCGAGCAAACGAATACAGTTAACTGACATTTATAAGTATTTACTGAATATTTTTCAGACATAGCGAGAAACTGAAGGACAACGATAGAGTATACCCTCAAGAAACAACACGTTTGCTATCAAAAGGCTATCGAACAAAGAGTCCTGCAAATGAGACATTCAGGTACGTCTCGGCAAACTTGACTGTCCATACACCTATGAGTTTTAGCAGATCACTTTCCAGGCACAGGAAGACACTGAGAAACAGCAGAATAACATACCTCATTAAAACGATTGATGAGCGTTTGAATGGAACAGGAAAGGTTGGGAACAGGCCAGTTCGACTCTTCCTCGGTCTGGGTCGAGTTGTTGGTGGTGCTGGGTGCGTTATAGCTGCGACTCGGCGACGGGGATGGACTGACAGGTGGGTTCTGCGATTTCAGGTCCTGCACCACGTGCCGAAGGTATTCTTGCGGAGGTACCTGGTAGAACAGCTGGTATTCGGTCTCCGTCAACCTGAGCGCCACCTCCTCGGGGAAGCTCAGCAGCTTGTGCAGATCCTCCAGCTCCTCAGAGCTCCGAGGCGGCTGCGGCTGCGGCCGCTTCTCCAGCTCTAATTAAACAATACCGTGAAAAACTAACTACGGACGCCCGGGCGAGCTTGTGCAATCTAGCAAATTCATTTCTGTCCGTCAACATCCTGTCCCCGTCCCAGTAAAAAGGAACTACAAGCGACCAAATGAAGGACATTATTGTCACGGTTTCTCTAATTGTCCTGCTTTCACCTCTGGGACCGGTCATTTTATTGTTTCACACGGTCAACGGATATTGTCTGCGATTCATTTTGCTTTCGAGACGATTTATTTTCATTGAGTACTGAAATGCAGCGATTTCTATTCTCTCTTATGTTGTTGCGTTTAATTATACGTGCGAACTTAAAATCTCCAAAAATTCGGAAACTTGATAAACAACTAATTTAGATTCCCACTAATAAAAAGCTATTTTTCGTTGGTACTAACTTCCACTTTAAGAGGGTGAAATTGATCTCCGATTATTTTGCCTTTTTTGTTTTTCTTTTGCATACTTTTGTAATCCTAAGAGATAGAACAAAGCTTTCCAAGGATAAATTGTGCAGTTTATATTTAAAATAAATATTGTGTATAATTCAAGTTTGTGTATTTAAAATAAATGGTGTTTATATTTTAAAAAATTGCATGACGAAGATGATGTTGTACAATTATACCCGAGCAGTTTCGTCCTATCTTTTCGCATCACGAAGTTGTGCAGCAAATTCTAAAAAATGCAAAATCTTTAGGGGTTTGTTTCACCCTCTGAAACTGGAATTTATCGCCAACGAAAAATAGTCTCGTGTTACTGAGAGCTTACGCTAATGGCGTATCAAGTATCAGAATTGAAATTTTATGGTAAACTTAAAACTTTAATTTTTGTTAAGAGAGCTGCAGTTATTCGTTTAAATTATGGACACGTCAAGTTTTATGTGAGAATACTGTTTTGCATTTAATTGTACGAACAGTATGCAACGATCAAAATTTATGATGTCGCTTGTACAATAATTTTGGGACACCCTGTATAACTGTAAATTCCTGAATAAAGAACACATAAGTTTCGACGCAAAATATCTTGCTTCCTGGTCGCAAAATTGTTCAATAAATAAAATACCAGTGCCAACTGTATCCCCAATATTGATTAAACAAGCAAAAACAGCTAATTGATCGAATCGCAACAGCAAATTACAGCAATAAAGACGAGAGAAACGACGATGCAGAAGAATTCCGTTTGAAAATACAAAACGGTGAGCTGAGGGAAAGAGAAAATTTCGAAGCTGTCAAAGCATGGCCGTTTGAAACAGAACGGTAAAAATTGCGAGAACAGCGGTATGTAATTCCATCTTGCGAACGGTTTCGCGAGGGAAAAAAAGGAATTGAAACAGCCTGCGCGAGAGAAGAAAAAGAGTGGCGGGTTCGCCGAAGCATACCGAAAATTGTAAATCTGACCTAGTTCCGGGGGAAAATAATTAAGATTGGCGCGACTCGTTGAACCGGACGTGTAACGGCATAAATACGTGTACACGGGCACCTGGAAAATGCGGGAGCGACATTCGTACGCGCCGACAAGGAGCTTCCGAGTAATTCGACGTATCCGGCGCTATTATTAAAGCAATTCATAATCCTGCGGCACTGTCTAGATTTGAATATAATACCGGAGGCGTTGCGTCGTAGTTGAAGCATAAGTGAATCACTTATCCTTACAAACTTCGAGCGATAATGTAAATCGTATCTGCGAACGGTAGCCGCATCTATCATCCACTCGATGCAGAAGCGTATTCTTATTAAGCGGTTCATTCCAGGCTCCATATTTCTAGGGAACAAAGTTGAATTTATTTCCGGGAGGTTGCCGAACGAAGAAACGCGAGGCACAGTGTCCGAAAGAGCTGCTATCAGTGTGGTTTTTAAACTCATTTTCTGCTGGACCTTTATGCATTTATAAGAAAGATGAATGTGTCTAATATACAATAGCCAAAATGTTGGAAGAATTTGAGGATGCTCTTTGCTAATCGTTAAAATCGATAGAAGAATAAATAAATTTTTCTTTCAATTAATTGCAAAATAAAAATTAACGAATTCTGCCACGGTGTTCATACATATTTATTATAATGATGTTACACTACGAATTTACACTAGCTGGGTTACATAGACTGACTAAAAAAATATGTGCATAGCATTAGAAACTGCGAGGGAAGATTGATTTTCAAATCGATATTGCTCCAACAAGGAGGTCACTAAAGAAGCTACACAAGCCTAACAGACTGACTGAGTCGTATAGACCCGAAAAACAACATAGAATGGTTAATAAAATAAGTTAACGAAATAAGAAATATAAGTGAAATGAAAATGTCTGTTCTCTTTCAATAATTGTAATAAGTTGAAATTGACGAACGGCATTTTTAAATTCTTCTAATGCATTTATATAATCTTCTATTTGACCCATTTATTTTCGTCATAAATGCTTCAAATCCGCAGTGTCTAGTCATAAAAAGCGATAAGTAGACTGCGGATTTTTGTGCAATTGAAAACAGCAGAAAGATTCAAAAGATTTAAGAACGTGGATATATTGTTTGTAACTGATTCAGATCGTTCAAGAAGGTTCTTCATTTTTTGTCAAAAAAGTTGCTCTCGTATATTATTAACAAATATTTGCTCGCATATAGAATGGAAGACAGTCACTTTGATTGCCAGAAGCAGTTAGAGCGAAGTTTGCACCGAGCAGCTGAAAAGTTGCACGGAGTTTCAGCGCAACTGGGTCGAATCGGACCCACGCACTGCGTTTCAAGGATTAATTAAACTCGCGGTATGTGCAATATATATAACCTGGCCCAATTGCGTGACTCACTCCCATGTAATATCAAAGTTATGCGAATGATACACCGCATAATAACAGCGCATACTTCCGGTGTGTAAGAGATATAATGATCTAAGTTACAAATATTACTAGCGCCGGGGTAGCACGAGTAATGGAAATGAAATTATTCTCGTATTCGTAAATATTATACCCCAGGCATGTAATAAACAGAACTAAGTTACAGACATTACTGGCACTGGGCAGTAAACCGTAACAGAGATAATGAAAATGTAATTAGTCTCATGTTCGTAAGTACTATGCCCTTTACTGTAATATTTATATAGGCCAGTTTTTATTGTCTCGAGCCCCAGTTGCCCTGATGTAATTATTGAAACTGGAGCACAAACTTTGCAAAATTATCCAGTACTATAACAAAGCAGAATTTAATTAAATGTTCGTGGTATTTTATGTTCTATTAGATTTATCGTTTTATGCTCTCTCAAAATGGTGTACGAAAAGGTATAATTTATCTTGTACACTAATTTATCAGCTTAAATATTGTTGTTTCTTATTTTTCTGCCTTTTTGAATGATAAGTAGACAAAAATTAAATTATTATTATTCTTTAATTGTGTGTAAACTAATTTCTACATTTTATTTTAATGTGCCTACATTTGTAACATTTGTATATGTTACTATTTTATTTACAAGTAGACTGTCCACTATTTAAAACTTTATCCAGTGTACTTCTCAGTATTAGAATTAATTACAATTAATTTAAATGAATATAATTAATTACAATTAATTTTGCAGTCAAATACGTTAAAAATGTTAATTACCTCAATCTTCATGTTCAATAACCTTGCACTAACTTTTCTCTAGTCTACATGTTCCCAAAATTTATCTGCAAGTACTTTATCTAGTATTTGGAACGCGCGAGCACAGTCTGCTTTTTAGAGATGGGGACAGAATCGACGCGAAAGTAGTTGCCGAATAAGTGTCTGTGATATAATTTTCCTACTGACCTTATCAGGTAATGGTTCGGCCACGTGGGGTGGAGGAAGTGGAAGTGGCTGTAGTATTCGCCGTTGGCGGTGATGAAAACGGCGCTTCCACCCGCGGGTGGAATCGCCACTGTTCCCCGTTGAAATCAGCCCAACGACCACGTCGGGTAATCCCCACGTAGTTTTGCAGCCTGCATCAGGATGGCTCCATTGACCTCTATCTAGAAGGATCACTGGAACAGTTTTCACCTTCTTTCTTGCTCTGCCCGCTCCTTCCTCGCCTCTCAAGGATCTACGTGTACCCCCTCGCCGACCTGCAAATTAAAAAGACAAAGATCGTTCGTATACCATTTACCGGGATAATTAAATACAGATTAACCGAGGTGACGCTGTTCCTCCAATAAAGTGTCTACAAGGGTTGCGTAAAACACTTAAATTTCAAACTGTGACAAACATCTGCATATTTTTCTTCGTACTTTATAATAACCACAAAGCTGGTACTTCTTTTCAGAATACTTGAAATTTATTTATAAATAAATAATTCCAATAATTATACCATGCGGCCATTTTGGGTTACCAAGACTTTTTGAATCTTTTTACCATTATTAAATGTTATTATCTTCCTGTCAACGTGAAATATTTATTTTTTCCCTTAATTATTTTAACGAGTTGCAAGTAATACAATAATAATTTTAAAATCTCTGAAATATTACATTAAATATTAAATTAAATTCTCTTCGCGCATTTTAATGAAGATCATATTACATTCTAATTACACTTTTTAACAAAAATCCAACGTTATTATTACTTGATTGGAGCTGCGTGCAAAATAGAAATATTATGCACCAATTGTGGCTTCCTAGTACGCGCGTAGGTAACTATAAAATCAATTGTCTCTCGATAAAAATAATACTGAATCAAAATATTTTGCAGATCCGATGTATAAGTGGACTATTAAATATGTTCCTTGCCGCGTTCGAGCTCGGTTCGAGCTGTTACAAGGAATATGCTTCTGACAGTGGAAAATCGGGAATGATTTGATTCGCTGCTAAGTATTCAGAGCTAATGGTGGCGTAATCGTGCAAATCGCCCGCGTCGAATTACACGGTAAGCGGCCTAATTAATGTTTGTTAAATTGATGCGTGTGCGGTTGGTTTAACGCGTTAAATCAATACGTGAAATGTATTGACATTCCGTGTAATATGGCGGAACAAAGCATAATTGTCTTTGCTTAATTCGGTGCATGCGGGATAGTTTTACTCGATGCATTAGTACGGTGTTGTGTCGTGTTCGGGGAACTCGGGGCTTACAAGATCCAGCACATGCATCTTGATAAGAGAAAATTATGACTTTTAGTCAATGCGGCTAATGGGTTGAACAATTTCGCGAAAAGCTGCTGTACGAATTTGCCGATTACATGCTTATGCAGTAACGCAGCTTGGTTAACTGTTGGTACAATATTATCCGTTCGAGTAATCGTTACGTAAAACAAATTTATATAACACGTATTATCCTGCATCGATTTTAATACTGCACGCCCGTTCCGAATGAAAAATCACTGCAAAAGTGAATTGTGCTAAATTCAATTCAACACAAAATATTTCCTTGTGCCGAACGAATAGTAAATATTCGTTTTTAATACAAGCTTCCCAAATTGAAAATATGAAATACGATTTTAGATAGACATCTTTCGGATAAAAAATGTCGACTGTATTTTTACATTGAAGTTTTTTTCGATCGAAAAATGTCAAATATGTTTCCGGATATAGACTTTCTGAATTACAAATATGTCGAATACAGTTTTCGATGTCAGAATTCAATTGCTTTTCCCTGTAAAATGGATCGCATTTTCGATACCTTTTTCCAAGATAAAATTCAACAACGCAGTATTTTCCTAAATAAAATTGAGTTTCACGTCTCCCTTCGCGCAGGAGTTGCATAGGAATTGCTTTTTTCTATGTAGGATCTAATATTGCACCCTGTAATTGGATTTGTAGGTGGTAGTGACGACGAAGGCCGAGTGTACCGCGTACAAATAATCGGAAAATAACTGGACGGAAAATGGAAGGTCGAAAAACGGTGGTACTAAGTGCAATAAAGAAGAACCACACAAGTTACAGTTATCAAGTAATAAACTCCGTTGTCGCGATAAACAAAGTAAAACGGCAGCGAAGCGCGTGAAACACACTGCACGGAAGTCTGCAATCGCGATAAGCTAAAGACGTATGAAAATAACTTGAATTTTTCACTGTCTCGTTCAGTGAATAAATTGCTTTAAACAACTACGATCTCTCGCAAAAGTCCCTTGCGAAATAACATTGATAAATCCACAGAAGAGTAATCGTTCAAATATAATTTCAAAGGTGCAGACGCGACGCTGCAAAAATTAATTTCACAACGTTATTTGATGAATAAATTACTTGAAACGACACTGCGATGTATACGTCCCCGGGAAAGTAATATTTCTAGATACACGGGAGAGTAATTACCGAAATGAAACAGGAAACTAAACGTCCTAAATGCTATCGAGTCGCTTGAAAAAGCGTGCGAAACTTCCTCCCGCGGAGAAAATATTTAAACGACGCGATATTGGCAACTGTCGCCGCTCATCGCGAAACTGTTGCAAATATTTCGCAGCTTGCACGATCGTTCCGTCGAACAATAGGGAAAGTAAAGGCACGCGATACACAGTCGCGCGCGTTACACCGCAATGCCAATATCAATTAGTCTCATTGCCATTATTACGGAATTATGTAGCTTTTAATCGTGACGGGAATTACGCGCGAGCCGCGACCCGGAAATGCATCGGGAAATTCCGTTGGTCCCGAGTCAAACGGGAAAATTCGAAATTGGCCATCGACGCGAACGGAATAAATTACGGCGCGATCCTCTCGAAAAGTGCGAGGACTTCCGGTTACATTTCGGGTACGCCGGTTTTGCAGCTTCGAAGTTTGTTGCGAACTGTCGGCGACAGTACGCGGTGGCGAATTTAACGATCCTCCGTGGGGCGATGTTAATTTCCGTTTCGTTGTTCTTTCCGGCTTAATTATCGGCTGCCGCGAGAGCCTTGCAGAAAGTTCCCAGTCCGGAATTTCGTCAATAATTTCAATCGGGACACCTATGGGAGCGGACAAAAGATTAAGACGGCGAGGAGGGAAGAAATTGGTGAAATGCACTTCGAGCTGATTGAATTCGATATTGAACTTCGATTCGTCCGAAAGTCGTACTTTTTTGCCAATTCGATCAATGTTTACGAGTCTTACAAGCATTATTTTTCGATTTTTTGAACTCAGAGTAATCTAGTATAGTTTAGTCAGCATCGACATAATCTATTAGAACTTAAAATAATAAATATTCGTTATAATTAAATTTTATGTCAAACGTTTATTATAATCGATATCACCGACATTTAAAATCAATTCATTTAAACTACTGTTAAAAAATCTATTGTAATTTGATATTACTAATTAAATTTCTGTTAAAAATATACTAAAATTTAAATTTCTATCAAAAATCTGTTAAAATACAAATTTACAATAAAAGTTTATCATAATTAAATTTTATATTATAAATTTATTATAATTGATATCGGCACCCATTCAAAATCAATTTGTCTCCGATCATCGAAATAATAAATTGTCCTCACTGTTTTTGGAAAAGTATCTTTTGCTGTATAATAAGGAGAAATTGAATAATTATTACTAGACCGCGTATTTTATGCAGTTATGAGACAAATGAGTGAATGAAAACTAGAAAAATTTAACAATTTTGGGCACACATCGATATCTTTCTATCATCTTATTGAAATTATTGAAAAAAACGAAATTTCTGTGTCTTACAATTGATGCAAAAAATTCCTATTTTTACGTAAAGATTCGTAGTTTTTAATTGTCACTATATCTTAATGTATCTAATTTTTTAAAACTTCCTACTTTATAACCATCGATTAAGTGATCCTTTTGATCCTGCAGATGCATTGATTGCACTGATGGACAAGATTTATCGGTAACAGTGCACACAAAATGCGAGGATTTTAAAACTACACATTTCCTAGCGAGGTACATTTAAGATAGCAATCAAGAAATTGTGAAATGTCAAGAAATTGTGAAAGTAAATATATGGGCTGCTTGAACGTCTTTTAGTGTACCTAATTGGCAGTTTGAGTGATCGATATAACGTGTCTACGAAGTAATCTACCCCGTTCGACATTTATACGCAGTAAAATCTGCTGTAAACGTTTGCGAGAGTAAAGAAGTAGTCGCAGCATATTAAGATAAGCGTCCCATAAATACCACTCGTTTACTCGCAGGTCGATAATCGGTCGTCTAGAAACCCCTAAAGACGAGCTTAAACGCTATGTAACCACTGTTTGTCGCCTTAACACGGTAGCAGGTAATTCCGGCGATACAAAGTGTCGAGAAAACTGTTTCGCAGCTGTTTACACGATGTCGAGTGTTCTCAAACATCGACAATGTTTTTTCCACATTTACACGCTGAATTTTCATAAATTATTTCGACATCTGCTTTGTTTATTTCGACATTTAGTCATTTCTCATGTACGAATTTTTCAGCACACGAATCTCGATTTTTTTTTTATTATCAATTTTATACGTTTATGTTGATTCCGGTTTTATACATTTGAATAGAGTTTATATGTCGTTCTGATTGTACCTTTTAATAATTGATTAAGTTCTCCAAAGTATCCGAGATTACGAAGTTGTACACGAGGTTTACAGAAAGTACACACAATTATGGAAATGTAGACGACTTTCGAGAAAGTGCTAATCTTTTCACAGAGACACTGCAGCTTTTGTGGACGCAAGGGAAGAGAAAATGTTTTGTATAATCGTGACGGGGATGAAAATCATGATGACCGAGTGCAAGGTTCATTTTTACCACCTGGTATATTGAAACATATTTGAAAATTACCTTCAGAAAGCGTTTGATACATTTTATAATAATATTAGCACTTTTTTGCTGAGAAGGTCAAAAGGAACCTTATAAAATTTTAATTTGGAAATGATTTTCTATTATAATTATATCATTTTTCTTAAATTGACTTTTCAACTTTTTCTATAATGATTATAAAATTAATTTGGTAAGTTCGTTTGAAGTTCATTAAATGTATGAAAAAACTACCCTTTTTTTATATATAAAAACTCTTTCTGCAATTATTCTCCAATGGAGTTTACATCAATAATAATAACAATAATAATATAAATAACAATGCCAATAATAATATCAATAATAATATTAATAATAATATCAATAATAATATCAATAACCATATCAATAACAATATCAGTAACAATAT